AGCGGTTTTAGCTTCTGCGGTCCTAAAATGTCGCAAGTGTGTGAACGGGCCTTGGTGATGAAATCTTACGACGAAAGAACAAACTAGCGCCATCTATTGGGTTGCCGTGGAATACTTGCGATTTGCGTATATTTTTGACATTTTTTTTCGCGCATGTTATAGAGAGCCGTTTCTCATAGTAGGTTGGCGTATGCATGTCATCTCGCAAATACTTCGAGAGGTTCGCTGTTGTGAAATGCAAGCAACTAGCACTAGCTTAAACCCTCTACAAACTTGCGACAATGTATCTTGGCGGCAGCGACTGCTCCGCACCTGGAACAACCTTGACGCTGTTTATCGGAACGACACGACCTCATTAAAGTCAGTATTTACCACGTACGCATCGAAGCGTAAAATCTCTTCCGCACCGTCGCAGACATCAGCCAGGAATATATAAACTTATACCTGCTTTTAGTAGCCCCTTAATAGTAGCTATCGCTTCCCTCGTTTCATTTTTAGACTCGGCCTCTGAACGAGTATTTTCCCCACTCGTGACAGTCCGTGGTAACGTCTCCATTTCGTGTAGGGTAGCTCCAGCGGTTCTTTGAGCTACCGAAACTGAACACATTTTCGGAATACTGAGACTTTGCTCTTCCCGGCGTGCTATTCATAATCTCTAAATTCACAATTACTATTAAGGAAGCGTAAATTTAAGGTCAGGTCAAAACCATATATTCACATTTCCCCGTTGTCTTTGTTGAGGTAACATCACGAGTTGCATAACTTGAAGGTCCAGCAGGCAGTCTATAAGAAACAATACCTTTGGCGTTTGTATTTCATTCTGCTGGCTGGAATGAGCTTCCGTGGCATTCATTTCACACCATTAAACCTCTTGTAATCCGTTGGAAACAAGCTGTACTGCCCTTTTATAACGTACAACATTTGACGTCACGCTTTCAGTGTTGCCAGTGGATTCTCTTAACTTCTCAAACCAAATTTTAAGCCGTAACCAAGACAATTCCGTTCGCAAATGGTAAAAGAACAAAGAAGAGTGGGCAAAAACAAGAGTACTGCAGCTCAACTCCTGCGCCGTTTAAAATATTTTCATGATCGTTCCGGTACAAAATTAAATATAAACTCTTCATTTATCTAGCCTTATCGATGCCGGTTTGTTCGTATTAAGTTGATGAACAATTTTAAACGAAGGCATTCCTTCCCCTGAGAAAGCTTCCATCCGAGGGGCTTATCAATGATAATAATGTTAAAAGTAAAGGCTGGTTTAACCTAAAGTTTTTAAATTAAATTTTTTTTGTGTGTGTGTAAAGGACTATTTCATTAACAACCTTATTGACGTGACCCCCGCTATACCAGAACAAAAACGGCTTGATTTTCTTTTTTTTAGTTAGCTAAGATGCTTTATTTGCTCTTTTCATCGCGGTCTGATTTGCTCGCAATAGGAGGTTACGCAACTGACGAACGAAGTGGAAGGTAGAAAGAAAGCCAAATAAATGTCGACACAAAACTACACAGAACTCTGGACAGCTACCGCCATCTATGAGCGACGGCGGCAACCAGACAATCAGTCTCGTTGCCACCGTCGTTCATAGATGGCGGCAACCTTTCCAGCTATCGTAGAAGAATAGATAGTTGGGCGAGTTGGTGGGAATTCGTCGTAGGAAACAGCGCTCAAAACAGACGAGGACGAAGAAGACACACACGGGACGAGCGTACAGCTTCGCAGGTCTTCTTTCTTCACCAGAGTGGAAAGGGTAAAATTTGTTTGCCTCATGGATTATTTTTTTTTTAAATTTCAGTACAAAATAAATGCACACAAAAACTATAATATGATAGACGAGCGGAAAATAAAAACTGTTTACGGAATTATTTTTAGAGAAAAGGCTCGAATTCAATCATCATTGTAATACTGGTGTGATTAAAATCACTATATAAATCATGATAAAAATCATGATTTAAATCATCTTGACTTTGATTCTCCACGCTTAGTTAAGGACACAACGTCTCCAACCTTCCGCCGTGCTTTTTACATACACACCATGGCAATTGTCGCTGCCAATTGATAATCCTAATGGTGAAAGTCACAGATAAGAAATGCGAGAGAGTGCCATTGAAATAACTCCCCCCCCCCCCCCCCCCCCCCCCCCCTTCTCCCTAATCGACGAGCCATCTTCTCGATGCGCAGATGTTGATATGATTGGGGGATCTCCCAAGCATTTCGAAAAAAGGATTTTTTTTTTTTGTCCGTCAGACATTGGCTATAGGCTCACGTGCACGGGACTTCGCGAGGGTAGGCTGCACCACAATGCGCTTGGAAGCAGAGTCTTTGGCATTCCTTCGATCAGTTCATTGAATGAGAAGGACGAGAGTCCAACGAAATAACTGCACTTCCACGTTTTTTGCCGACCAGGATGTGGGTGAGTCATTGGAAACTACAACACGTCCAACAGAATGCAAAAAAGAAAAAAACAAAAACAAAGATAAAAATATTACTTAAGCAACGCCACCTGCGCACGAAGAACCAGGAAGCGAAATCAGCGAGATAAGCAGAGATAAGCGTACCGCTTGTCTCTGCACCGATTATATATTCCTGGAAGCACCCGAAGCTCCGCTGAAAAGATCAAGGGGAAAATACTATGTTCATTTCGCCATTAAACTTACCAAGAAAATGCACGAGCGCACGGATGTTGTCTGCGTGTTGCAGAGTGTGCAGTAGAGTGAGCAGCACCTCGGCTCTCTACGTAATTCATTAAAAAAAAAAGAAAACCTTTTTTTTTTACTTTTTAATTGCTGGACGTTAGTAAGAACCCCCTTTCGAGTATCGAACGCCATCTGGGCGTTAGTATGTGGACTACAAATGAAGGGCAGTCCAGCATGCCTTCGATTATTAGAACACACCGGCACCGTGCAGTTTTATCGGTTTTGATTGCTTTCTTTTATGCCCCATATACTATAATCGGGGGCCACTTTCTGCAACATTTACGTAAAGAGGAGGAGAGACGCGTGAACAGCTTTGATATGCGTTCAGCCTGAGAAAGGGCACGTGTGCCCGTACTTTTGAATGCATTGCTGCAGAGAGTTTCCCCGATTATACCGCAGCTAAAAAAAGAAAAGGAAAAGTAGGGCTGGGCATTTGATCGTTTAACATACCGATTAATCGATTAATAATTGCGATTACTTTTCTTAACCGGTTGGTGGGTTTAATTTTTCCTAAACGAAACAAAAAAATGAAAAAATTCGTCCCGTTCACCACGCAGACGTGGACGAATGCACTTGTATGAAGGCAAACTTTAGGTGACATTTTGACCTAAAGTAAGCTGTAGGGGAAAGATCTGTAACCAAACAAGCGGAAAAGGTTATACGTGTCGCAGTCACTTCAAGGCCGTGCGAGTGTCCGTTTCGCGCAACATAGACTATTGGGACCAATCCAAAGAATCCGCTTTTGCGGGGGGGATAAACGCACCTCATTGCCTTTGCGGCTGAAGTAATAATTCGCGTGTGGGTATGTTTGTCTTTTTTGGACGATACAACAAGGTTGTTTTAACATCTGAAATTGTACATTTTTCGTTCATTACATATTCAACAAAAACAACAACAAAAAATGTAATTTTGATTTTGTTAGATTACGATGCAAGGGAATTAACAAAGCTGATGAATCGAGTAATTTAATAATTTAAAAAGTGGTGATTTATGGGGTTAAAAGTTTTAATCGTTGCTCAGCGTCCTCAAAACAGAAGAAACACTCGCAAAGATACAGATGCTGAGAGTGCTTGTCGTGAGGGTGGTATACCCTCCGAAAATGTCAACAGCTGGAAGCAGTGGCCAGGTACCAGGGTATAGAGAATGTTCGCGTGTGCTGCAAAAAGGTCCACCGACACACGATGTGTACTATCCGAAAAAAGCAGGAACAAGCGGGCAATATGCTTAGACTTGGCACAAAATATAGACAGCCTGCAGGGAAATGGTTCTAAGCACCGCATGCGAGCTTCGTCGTGTTTTGCGCGTTATGTTTTGTTTGTCGTGTTTCACATGTGGCACCGCAATTTGCGACGCTCGTAATGTGACCACATGTGAGCGGCTCGGTGCGCGGAGCGGTGGGGACCGCATACTTCGAAAGCAGCTGTTTCGTGTGTGTTTCTCCCCTAACGATATGCGTCGGTTGTGTGGGTTTGGCTACACGAAAGTAAGTTTGCCGAAAGTAAGAGGTTTGCTGAAGCACTCTATACGCTTTAAATTCACTGCACGTAGAGCCAATCTCAAAGGTTCTTAATGTGCGCTCAGAGAATTATGACGCCCAATCATGAGACTGACGTCGCAGCCACTCACAGTCCGTGCTCTAGATGCGTTTTCAACGCAATTTCTTTTGTGTCTCGTCATTGGCAGGACACGTACATACGTAGGTTGCAGTGATTGTTTTTTCGCGTAAAGCCCGGGAAACCGGGAAATGCAGATGGAAATATTCTATAGTCTTAACACTCGAAGAGTCAATCGCGGCGTGTTTAAAAAGAAGAATGACGTCAACAACAAAAAAAAAAAAAAAAAGAGAAAATGGAAGGGGAAGTCTACGTACACACAGAGTTTAAAGGCGGAAAGTCGCGGTGTGCACGAAGAGAAGAGGAGCCCTATTTTCGTTACAATAGCAACAGATGCAACAGCGCTAAAAATGCATCGTCACGACGTTCGTTGCCTTTGTGCATTTACTATCACCGGTGAAACCATTCCCGAAATTAAAAAAAGAAAAGAAAAACGGAGGATTACGGCGCATTCAGTGTGCGTAACAAGGGAAATAAGAGAAAAACGTATTCCGAGCTCGGAGTGGTGGTTGTCCGAACTAAGCACACCTTCTCTTCGGTCACACATATAGCCAAATGTATTTTACGGCCGTGACCGCATACCAGCAGCTGCGGCCGCTGCGAGTTCATTAAGCCAGAAATCTGGCGGAGTGTACTGCGGTAGAAACCAGTCGAAGAGAACCGATCCTAATGTGCACCTTGCCGTTGTTCCAGGTACACGTGCCGGAAAAGTAGACACTGCCGACAAGGCCGCCGCCGGCCGCGAAGTCCGCCTTTCATGCGCCCAAGCGGGAGTCTCCAATGGAATCTCTCGCGCTACAAGGTAAGAAAGAAAGACGTGGGTTCTGGCTTCTGCACTGCCGTCCATACAGTCTCTTGCAGGATGAGAGTAGCAGCACGACAAGCTCATCACACAAAGCCCTCTACTCTTTTTTCACTTTAGCAAATCGAATTCTGGAGAGGAGGAAACTACAGATTATGGTGAGCAGAGAGCTCTGTGAGGACGAGATTGTCCGGCTATTCTAAACCTGCAACAGGCTATCGGAACAGTTGATGGCCACGGAGCGGTCGTTACATGATCATTTATGTAATTATAGTGCGCTCACGTGCGTGTCTAAAAATTGCCATTTGAAAGTATGCGGTATACAATAATGTAGACGCAGCCTTCATTTCCAACAATCTACCAGAGAAGGCAGAGAAGTTAATGAGGTCCATAGTACGTCAAACAGCCCTATTGTGGTGACACAATATTAGAACTGAATTTAGTTTATTCGCGTGAAATAGTAGATGCAAATTGTGGCGGTCTCTGTAAATGTCATGCGCACGCAGACCTACGCTAAGAAAATACTAGCGCATCTGCTTCACGGCAGAACGGAAAGATGATCATTCATCGAGGCTTGGTACCTTGAGCACGCTTTGGCGCATGTATTCAGTGAGCACTAAGTCATCGGTTCGGGAAAATATTACTCAGAGAGTATAAATCATTCGCTCTGCGTTATCCCTATACGTGTAGCAGTGAGTGAGTGTTCACGTTTCTCCAGGAGATAGTGAACCCGCTGGTGGGTGTTGTGAGAGTGTGCCATAGGAAACGCTTCAAGAAATTCAGAAGAGTTGTGCAACTCTGTCAGTGTAGGCCGCAGGCTCGGAGCAAGAATGTCGCCATTTTGATGTTGTTCCCCGAGTTTGCTTGCCATCTCGAAGTGAGCCGCACTACACTCAGGGACTGCTGGGAACTGGGAACGTGGTATTTTCGAAACAAAACGAAACAAGATACGATACAAAATATCAGGAAGGTTAGTTTTGAACACATGGATATAGCAGTTCTATCCAGCACTAAGTTATCGAAAAATAGCTTAAGGTTATGCGAACTGCATCCTCAGAACTGACGAGCAATTGGGATATGTATAATTGTTGCCATTTCTTTCTTTTTTCATTTCTCTTTATAGATGTGTCTGCGGATTTGACGCCCAAAATTATATCCAGTCGAAATGGACAGCATTTACCTTCATGCGCAACACCGCCAAGAATCAGTGTTAGTTGGAAGAATCTATCTTACAGTGTGCCCACATCAAAAGGTGAGAGACACCAAGGCCTGCCATATGTACGCGGCTCTGCGTTTGGGTAGTGTTCAAGCAGTCACGGTGTACGACTTTTACTTTAGAAGCTCCCCGAGTAACTTACAGTCGGGGAAAGGTTAAGGACCTAATAGACGCTTGGCCCCCAACGCGCTCGGTGACTTCCGCCGGGGTTTTGCTGCCCGCGCACCGAAGTGTTACCAAAGGGAGAAGGCTCGCACTGGGGGCGGAACATCCACTGGGTTTTTAAGTTGTCGCGGGCTATAGTGCAGCACCAGGCGCGCGCACTGCGCAACAGCCCGATTGGCTTAAAGACATCGACCTTTTTTTGTTTTGTTTTATTTTGTTTAGAAGCATAATTGCTTACCGCGTAAATTGGTGGCCTGAATGTTCTCTGTGCACCACACTAGAAGTTTTAATGACAGCCTTTGAGTTAAAATAAATAAAAAAAGAAATCGGATGAAAACGAATTACGAGGCCAGAAGATCTAAGCATAAGCCACGCCTTTTGTCTCTTGAGATGTCAGTCACTAAAACTGTTATAGTCACTGACATGTTGAGAAACGAAGGAAGCGGCTTCTCCTCTCATGCTTCTTGATTTCTGATCTCTGGATTGCAGTTTTTATCGTCTTGTGCCGCAATCTAACTGACTGTAGAGCGATACTAAGACACTCCAAACTCGCCGCGTCCAACATTTCTTAAGTTGTCGGCGATATAATTGTGTAGCGCAATGTACGTACATGTTCTCATTTGTATTGTTTTACTCCAAAAGTGAGGGTTCCTGCGCTGTATCACTCTCAGAAGTTACCTGGTATAAACTGCACCGAGGGGTCTTAGAACATCGGACATTCCTCGTTCTTTCGTCAAAGTAAAACATTACGACTGTGATTGGTATTCCGCCTCTTTTATGGCAGTTTAAGGTGGGCGCGTCTTTATAGGCTGCGTTATCTATGCACCGTTACACCGCTCGCCCCTCTCATTGTCTGAGCTGATTAAAGCGTAGCCAGTTTGAGGGCGTCACGGTGTAACATCCGATCAGGGACTTGTGACATTATATAGCTGAAAACAACTTCAGAAACGCACGGCGTGTTAGGTCCGAACGCCGAAGAAGGAATCACGAAGCAAGAGTGATTATTATATGCCACAACCTGTTTGTTTCTAAGCAGACAGTGAAAATAGAGTTTTATCCGACTATTTTTCATCACCGTTCGTGTGACATCTCTGCGGTTACCCAAATCCTATTAGGACGAATATTTGGGGAATTACTTTCTTCTCGTTTTCGTTCAGTAAAGAAAAACTGCATTTTTTTTTTTTTTTTGTAATAATTTTACGCTATATGAGTCTGAGTGTGATCTACACCCTGGCGCCATCTGTCGGATACCTTTGGCATACTTCTGATATGCTTACATTACAATGTGACGTGTTGGGCTAGTTGGTTTGAGGTGAACATCTTCGCTGTTTTTTCCCAGATGTTCCCGTACATTACCTATTTCTTTACACACATAAAAAAATTCACATTGGGCTTGAAATAATACTGGCCATGTTAGGAGCAACCCTTTCTTATAGTGGCGCTTATATTTGATCTCGAGAATACTCCGAAACTGCCAGTCTAGTTACACGCAGATCGCAAGTGTTTCCGGGGGTACCTGATAGATGGCGCCCGTGTGCCAGTGTGTTATCTCGACGTCGCCGTTGACGAGCGGTTGGAACGCAGTCGAACGATCCCGCCTTGACGGTTCATGTTTGTCCGAATAATCAGCCTTGGCAATTCGTGTTTCTCCTAACGACTCGAATGTTTCTAAAATCGCGCGACGTTCCGCCTTCCAGGCAAGAAGAAAAACCTCCTGAACGACCTTTCCGGAAACCTGAGGTCTGGAGAGTTGACCGCAATCCTCGGACCCTCAGGTGCCGGAAAGACGACCCTGCTCAACATATTATCTGGCTTCCAGTAAGAACTACGTTGTCTTTTATCGATCAAGAACAGATCAAGAACACATGTTCACGTTTTTTGTCTCCGTGATTCGTTCTCGGGCGTTCGCATCGGCTAATGGTGCACTCTCATTGACTCTGATGCGGTGATGAGATGCCCATGGACACTCCACGCCCTGCAATTCTGAAGCTGCCCGTGAATTCAGTCTTTTGTTTTCGTTTTTGATTTTCTCAATTGGGCCACTGGCTACACGGCCACTTGCGCGAAAAAGCTATATTTCGGTAAATGGGAAATGATGAACTTGATTTCCTCTTTTACAGGACCCGGGGTTGCCAGGGACAACTCTTTGTCAATGGGCAAGCTACGAAGGAGAAGAGCTTCCGTAAACTGAGCAGCTACATCATGAACGGGGACAATCTGATACAGCACCTGACGGTACGAGAAACCATCGACGCGGCGGCCAGGCTGAAGATGCCGGAAAACAGCACGTACCAGCAAAGAGATGCCCTGGTACGAAACTGTGTTGCTGTCGGACGGAATGGTGAAGGAATAATTTGAGGGGGGTGTCATCTCACTGGTGTAAATACCACCTAGATACCGATAAGGTCTGCCTGCTCTCCTCCATAACGTCACACTAAAGGTCTGATACCGGGCAGCGCTACCGTCGATTCGCTTCCTCTCCCATTTGTTTGGCATAGTCGCGTTACCTCGTTGGCGCGGCCAATGCCCAACGGCGTCCGGACGTGTAGGGTTACGTTGAGTGTTGTGAAGAGGGAACAGTGCCAAAGGCCTTGCATCTAGGCGGTGTTGGTCATGTGCGAGATAAACTAACCTGCCAAATGGCACATTGGGAAAGATTGGGCTTTCTTCCGAGCCAGTGAACAAACTTTCAAAGCCGTGACATTCCGTGTCTGCAGCCACGCTCACACTGCGCGCTGATGCATCATACAAAAAAAAGTCTGCAGTGTGATGTTAGACTTGACTGTATTCGAAAAAAAGGTCATATTTAAGTTTCTTATAAAATGTTTGCTTTCCAATAGCATAAATCAGGTTACGAAGAATTAAGACCGTTGGTTGTTAGTGTTTCTGTTGTATCAAGATGAACTCAAAAATGGTCTCAATAACAGGTGACGAATCTCCTCAAGTCCTGGGACCTGGACGGCTGTGAACACAGAGCCATCAGGCATCTCTCGTCCGGACAGAGAAAGAGGGTTACCGTAGCGCAAGAGTTGGTCAACACTCCACCGGTGATATTCCTCGATGAGCCCACAAGGTGAGAGCTGACAGTTATCAAAATAATTTCGCTCATATTACATGGAGGAGCAGATCACGGAATCTAAATTTACTGCGCAGCGGGTCATTAAAGTTGACTTGACCCAGAAAGAATAAAACGAACTCCGGACATGTATACGACGAACGCCATCTTTACTTAAAAAAAAAATACATATATATATATATATATACATATATATATTTTTTTTTTTTTCATTCCTCGTCCCGAGTTTTTTTTGTTTTTTTTTCTGTAATAAGTTAATGAATATTATACTTAAAAAAGCTCGAGAACTGCCTCCAAGATAAACTGTAAAAAATAAATACGTCTACTTTTTCCGCCATGCACTTGGGAGAGCCGCTCATTGCAACCTACAGAGGGAGGCTGAAAATTTATTTACAGACATTGGGCAACAATCTGCGTTGTGACACTGAGCTCGACGTTTCAACGTGCTCACGATGGGCTCATGAGTGTCAGGGTGCACACAGTCATTTTTTAGGCCTAAACATTATTTCAGTCTCGTCATTGGCCGAGCTCCCTCGAAGATTGCAGCTTTTGGCTATCTTAAATGGCTTTGCCAAAAAATATACACATTGCCTTTTTTTTTTTTTTAGCACGCAGGTTTCGGGAAACTGGTCCAGTCACCATGAAGCTTTGCAATTTTTTTTAACAAGCATTCCTGTGCTCCGAGTTTTAATATTTACCTAATTTTTTTAATAAGTGGCTTTGAAGAAAGTAGTCGACTAAGTTGTTTAAACGTTTTTGGAGGCTTAAGGGTGCAAGTTATCACGTGACGGAGAGACAGAACAAGAAACACACAAACAGCGTTTGACTTGCAGCAGGTCTACTTGGCCTTTTGACGTGTATCCGTTGTGCGTGCTCGCATTCTAGAGGCAGATTAACACACTTGCGTTTAGATGCCACCGAGTATATGTTATGCTCCTTAATCAGCCAAGAAAATAGGAAATAAACGCAAATCGCAGGTGCTCTAGGGCTATCAGATAGATGGCGCCAGTGTGCTCCTGCTCTGGTCGTTAGTGATCACATTTGCACACATCAAACAAGGTTGCAACCAAACACAGCCTCAAATCCACACACAGCCTCAAATCTCAAAAGAAAAGGGTTTCAACACTCAAGCAGAAATTAAACGTCCATCTGATCATTTTTTTTTCTTCTTTGATGCAGTGGCTTGGACAGCAGTAGCTCACTGCAGTGCATCATGTTGCTGAGGGAGTTAGCGACCAGGGGTCTTACCATTGCCTTCAGCATACATCAACCAAGTTCGAGGCTCTTTCAACTGTTTGACAGAGTATGTTTCTGCTAGAAATGTTTGTGAAACATGAAACCTTCGAGGTCCGTTTTATATCGTGATCCTTGTCGAGACCTTGTCCCATTAAACAGAGTAGTGTGATATCAAATGCTCGGAATTACTGCTAAGTTTTATGGAAAAAATGCATGTGCGTGAGCTCAACACAATCATAGTAACAGACGCGGAATGTGCCGGGTGTGGAGCATGTTTTTATTACTTCACAACCAATATTAATACGGCATTAGCCGTTAACAATACCGAATAACGAATTATAATTCAAGAAGTGTGAACATTATAACTTATAAGCCGTGCCCTGCATTTGTTGAGCGCTCAGTGACTATAGATACTCAGCCCCCCCCCCCCCCTCCCCCCTTGACGACAATAAGGGTTTGATAACTGGTGGTGCGGCTGTTGATTCGCTCGCTTTCCTCCACCTGTTATAACATTCACGTGACGTTGCTGGCGCGGCTAATAGCCATGGATGTATAAACAAACAGTATTACCAGATACTCTACTGGTGAGAATAGATTTAACTCCGCATATTAGCATTAGACGGCGCGTCTACGGCGTGGAGGGAGAGGGCTGCCGACGGTGCACCGAGATACCGGACTCGCCAAGACGGCAGAGACGGCTGCCTCCGCCGTCTCGACGGGTTTCTAGGACGATAGATGGCGGTAGGCACTCCTCCCAATTGAAAAGGGAAACCCCCAAGGCTGCGCGCATCCAGCGGTTTCATATACGCAAATCTCGTCGGCGCCAGGACCATTGGGGTTTTTGCGGAGTGAGATGTGTTACCCTAGTAAAGTATCTGGTGTTGCGTTGAGGTTTCTGAAAGAGGGGGCACTGCAAAGACCTTTTATCGAGGTATGTGATTATCTAGATGCTGCATTACACAACCCAGGAATACAGTCAGGAATAGCAATGGCGGCATTTTCATTCCCATGCTATGCCAAAAAAGAAATATCGTCGTGTTATGGTTTTCTACATTCCAAGCAATCGCGATCTTCAAGATTCATGATATGCATCTCTAACTAACAATCACGCAATAAAGCAATGCCTAACGTACTGTCTTTCGGGGCGTCCACTTTCTCGGGCTTGTATTGCTTTTAGAGAGAAAATAAACGAAGGTAGTGGAGAGATTGAAATCTTTTGTTCCAGTCATCCTTCGCTCGTGCGCAGGTAGTTTTCAACCAACCTTAGTTATTTAAAAAAATTTAATCATCACCAATATGTTGTTTTTTTTGCTTTTAATTTGTGCATTAACGAAGACGTGCTCCTTGCAGTGTTAGGTCGGGAAATATACCCTTTTCAAATGTTACAGCCATTTCGTGGCAATCTAGAAAGCTCCGATATTTCCGTTCTAATTGCATGATCGGAGAACAAGCTCGCCTATACCACGCACCCCCGACTTCATTAATCAATGCCACGTACAAAGACCAACTTCTTAGAGCTAATTCCCCGCTTTCGGCTGTGTGCTTTACAAGGCGTTCGCTTTTGCTGGAGTGAAGAAGCTGGGTAGTGGAGGCATTAGTGTGTCGAGTTTGCCTCTGGAGAGGGTATGTGATTCAGCCATTACGTACTAATCACCTCAATCAAACGCTTCGTTACAATAAATGTGGACAACATGGAATAACATTACTAAAAAAGGAATAGATCTAGGAGCATTGTCACATGAGGCACTCATCGAGCTCATTCTTTCTATGTGATTCTTCCCGAATAGTAATATCATTTACTTTTCAAGCAAACTTTACATTATATTAGATAAGATCAGATTGCATATCGCTAAACTTTAATAAATGTAAATCCTTGTCATTTTCCCGCAGTTCACGTGCCACATCATTTTCGTATTACTTTGCTAACACTCAAGTAAGAGCCTGCTCATCTTTAAATACCTGTGTGTTCATCTCACCTCCGACCTATCATGGACTACTCACTTTACCTCTGTTATTGCTGATATTAAGCGTACTCTCGGATACTTGCGCCCTAACCTACAACTTGCTACACCCGCCGTAAAACTACTAGCATATACTACACTTCTAAGATCCAAGTTAGAATATGCCTGGCTTATGTGGCCTCCATGGTAGTCATACCTCACGAATCGTCTAGAATTCGTTCAAACCAGAGGCCTTCGTTTTATTTATAATACCTACTCAACATATACCAGCATATGAGAATTACGGCACTCGGCTAACCTTTATTCGCCTTCCCTTCGCCATCGAGAGTCACGCGTCTTTTCCGTTCATCGAACTTTCTATCACAATATCCACCTCAGATAATCATTACTATCACCTCACCAGGCACTTTCTCACGTTTAGATCGCCCATGTAAACTACGTCCAATTCGATCATCAACTGTTTCTCACAAGACTTCCAAACTACCATTGGCTATCGAGGGTCGGAAACTCACTACCTCACAACATCGTTTCTATAAACGATACTACTCAATTTGTTGAATCCATTACCCTCTTTCTATCTAGCTTAGCTAACTAGCTTACAGTGTTATATTTCTGTTTGCTGTTCTACTTCAGTTTTATTGCCACCCCTCGTATAATGCCCTGAGGGCCCCCGAGAAAAGTAAGTGACGATAATGATGCATTTGTGTATACATCTGTATGTGTATGTATCACGGGAACTTTCATTATCGCATGTGATGTCATAAGAGAAAATAATCGAAAATATGCAGCTAACGGTACCGTACTCGGTCGAATGAATCAAAGCTTATGAAGTCGCCGAAGTTTTCTGTCTTTCGGCGGGTTCGTAAACTTTGATTCATTCGATCAAGAATGGTCCATTCATCTGCATGTTTTCGATTATGTGCATATGTATGTATACTATCCCTCTATCCACGTGTACACACACGTATATATATATATATATATGTGCGTGTGTGTGTACATTTGTATAGACCAGTGTGTATATGTTTGATTTTTATTATTCCGTAATTGGTTAGTGATGTCTCTATTTCGTCTGTGTATTTGTCTAAAGCTAGTAAAATCTATCGCTTGTACAAAATTATGTAATTGTATTGTGTGTACGTTTATACAGCCTGAAGTTGTTCTTTCTCAACGATTGACTTGTCTCTCAGCTGTAGATTTGATGTACTTAGCTTATATACTTAGCTCTGTTAACGTAGGTTTAGTGCGTTGTGTAGCTTTTTTGTATTCTATTTTTTTTATGATTTGGAGTTCTGTTACGAACTTCGCGGGGGCTGGCACCTTCGTCAAGTTGTTATTAAGCAATTTTTGACCCAGTCTTCTGTTCTGATGCGCCGCCTTGACAAAAAATAATATTGATATGATTTCATAGTACGAAATTCTAATCTCTACATTTGCTGCCCACTTTTTCTTCTCTTCCTCCTTCAGCTGTACGTGTTAGCGGAAGGCTCCTGCATCTACAGAGGTCCCGCCAAAGACATGGTGCTCCATTTGAATTCCAACAATCTACAATGTCCTCCGTTCTACAACCCGGCTGATTTTTGTAAGACACACTACGAGCTCGACGCCAATCCCCGTGGGGTAAAAGAGCACAAGAAACTTCCGGCCATTTGCCGTATCATGTAAATTTATCTGCTAAATTTAAATGGAAAAATTTATCCGCTAAGATCAGCGATGGTTCTCATGGTGTCTTTTGACGTCTTGTGACATCATGTGACAGCCGAATCGCTTTGACGTCTTGTGACTTGTGACGGCCGAAGCGTTGCGTACTATGCTAAATACAGACTGCGCACATGCACGCCACGTGACCTGACGATGACCATGGCAAACTTCTCAGCTAAATTTAGCGGAAAAATGTCCCCTTTAAATTTACCAAATACATTTTTAAATGTTGTTATGTGATACTGCGACGTTGTGACACGACTGTAAAGGAACACTCGCTGGCATCCGCTGCGAAACTTCATCATTTTTTTAAATTATTTTGTATGAAATTGTTGGAAAATGAAGGATATAATTATTTTCGTAATTACATCAACCGCTGTCACCGCCCAAGGTTCTGAAGTGCACATCACGTTGCACGAATACACTTGGAATGTGCTTTTTGCCCTAGGAGGGTGGTAAACTGAAAGGGACAAAACGCAAAACAAATTGATTCTTCGATTCGTATATAGTATATTTTCTGATTTGCTAATTATAGGAACACAGGTGCCCTGTCAACCGACATTATTGCAACTTTTTCTTTTATCTTTAGCTTTCTTTTTTTTTTCAGAGTGAATAAGTCGGTTTTGATTGAGCTGGCTTTGTAAGTTGTTCATATACGAGCTTCCATTTCTTTTGTGATTTTTACAGGGCATAGGCCATAAAGTCATACACAATCATAACAAAGTTTCTGTTTTTTTTTTTATAATAGTTAAGAGATCAAATACGAAAATACATTTTTCGATTAGAAATCTCTTATATAAGGAACTTTGGTCTTTCTGGTGTTTCTTATATCAAGAATTCTTGTCTTTCTGGAGTTTGAGATGATTACTAAATTATATTTACTTTTGTTTTCAGTGATCGAGGTTGCATCTGGAGATTATGGGAGCGTGAAAGATAGTCTTGTGGAATATACGAACATAAACATGGATAAAGTGCCCTGCTATGCCTCTGCGATGACAAATGGTTACATCGAAGATACCCAGCATGATGAAGTGGCTGTGGTTCCCTTGTTAACCAGGGTGAGCTTTTAGTGGCTATTGTCCGCGGGCCACGTTAAAATGCATGTCTCTCCAAGGTCTAAATAAACAATGCAGGTGTTACATTGACATGAAATAACCAATGCGGGTGTACATCCACCATAGCAGCGGCCTCAAACACGCAGCCCGCAAGCATCACGCGGTTGCGAGAATTCCATTCCCATGCCTCGAGCGCTTCGTGCGCCGTAAATGGTATAGTTTCATATCGACGATTCATTTCCGAGCAAAACAAAGCTCAGCTCATATAACGTAACCGCACATTCTACAGTATTTTGTATTCTTTTTTTTGGCTAAGTTAAGCTTTGTCGAAACATTTACTTCTCAACCCTTTTCATGCAAATCAACCGGGCTGACAATACCACTAGGCTACAAGCGCGAGCTCTTTGCTCCAGGAAACACCTCGGCTGTTCGAACACTCACTCAGCACGAGTCTGTGCCAAGGATAAAGCAATGACCTTGGCATTGTAGCCTTGAGAAACACGTTTCCAATGCGAGTATTTTATGATATTGCTTTTTTAACAATCTTCGGGAAAGTAAACACTGCCGTATGAAGAGATATCTTTATCCATGCCCGTTGAGCCAAGTAAATTGTGCGACACGGTAACATAAGTGTGCTCGCTCTTGTTCTATGAAGAACTGCCAGCTAGTTGGCGTTTTGAATTTAGTGATCACATCAAGTGCAAATTTTTGAATCATATCAACATGCAAATGAAAACTAAATATGTCACCGGAAAGACGGCGAGCATACAAGAACAAGGGAGCACGAGGGACCTCTTGTAGAAAATCTCTGGGGTATTGCTGGGAGGGTTGGCTGCCTTGCAACCTGAAACAGCAATGCTTTTCTTCTTTGCCTTAAAATACCAAAATATCCCCCCCCCCCCCCCCCTTTCTGTTAGCCCTCGATTATTCGTGGGTGGGCAAACTCGATCCCACATTCGGATGAGTTTGAGACCCCTGAACTAATGTCACTGACGTCTTAGGAAATGCAGGCCGTGACTCAGTATGTTCCCGTTTCTTACTTCGTATGCAAAAATATTCCAAAAGCCGGGAATCATAATGATCAAAAAAACTGCTCCGACTTTACTCAATCTTGTTGAGTAAAGTCGGAGCAGTTTTTTTGATCTTACTTCGTAATTCGTACTTCAGTGCTCTTATCGGCCAATGTCGCAATATTGGAGCGATAACAAGGTGCTAGGAAATCGCCATACCCTGCGCTTATTAAGTTGGCACTGATTGTAAGGGCTGGTCCACAGACTTGCAACTGCTTACAACAATCGTAAGCAAACGCGAGTGTGCGAACGGGCCTCAAGACCCAAGAAAATGTGGCACCGTGAGAACTCAAACCTGCTTCTTTCTTTCCAGGAGGATCGAGTGTTTGTAAATACGGTCTCACTCGGCCTTCAAATCAAAGTGCTACTGAAGAGATGTTACCTCTCACTAGTGCGAAATCCCGTGAGTACACAAAAGATTGAATTCCGCGCTGCTTACTTTTGTCAACATTGTGCGCAGAAAATGGCAAACACGGATTATCTAGGTTGTAAGCGAAATGGCGATTTTCATAAATTGACGTTCTCAAGCCTGTATCTTATGATGCAATTTTGATTGCGATTTCTCAGTTCCGCGGTCGCTCATGCAGAAAAAAAAATACGTGGTGGAGGCTGCGGGGCTCAACGCTGCAGCTGCAAAATCGCAAGAAAAATCGCAACCTGTGAATCAATGATCAGTCAGAAGCATAAAGCACACGTTTGGCCGGACGCCATATTTATATTGCGTTAATTTAAAAACCCTTTTGTCACAATTTGTTTAAGTACTTGAATTAGTCAGGCAGCTAAAAAAAAAAAAAAAGCTTTTATGTGCTTGTATTTAAAGAAACCTGGAATCTCTACTTTCTTGTAAAGCACCTGAAAAAGTCAATCGCTGCAGCCCACGTAGAGAGCTCGGTGACATGAGGCAAGAGCATAGCATGGAAGGAAAAACAACAGACATGGTAACTTAGGAGCCAGAGAAAAACGGGACGAACAACAAAAAGCTTCAAACGCAGCTAGAATTTCGCTAGGCCGTCCGTCTCGTTTTTCCCCCGCTCCTGGGTTACCATGTAAGTCTGAACCAGCTCGCTTGCCCTCTTGCTTTATTTTGAAGAAACGAAGCGGTAAATAACGATGTAAAATTATTTTAAAGGACCTTCTTCCGTTGTATGTGGAATACAGGGTGTTTTAAATGGGGTCATGAATGACCTCGCTGGCGCTCAAACTTTCGTTATCAATTGTTTACGAACGACCTGAAGAGTTTCTCGTAAGCGCGGATGGCCTTCTAGAGAAAACTATATCTTGTGCAATTATCAGATCGAATCCATTAAGCGTTATGCGTCGGGATTTTCTGGTGTTTCTAAAAAATAATTAGGCATGACCTGATTGCCTCACCACCTCGAAATGATTACGAGTACTTAAATTATTAGGAGAATAAAAATTCAAGCGATTCAATTTAGTAACAATATTCCTACCAAGCGAGTTTCACCTACGAGAGTGCCCAACTGAAAGATTTTTATCAATTAAAACAAATTTAAATATAAACTATGTTGTTTTAGAAAATGTCATTATTATTATGTGTATTTATTTCATTCGCCTAAAAATGCCTTAAAAAGTTCGGTTGTCAATTTATGAAAAATATCCACCATTCGAGAGGTTGAGGCACAAACGTTACAAACAATTGCATTCCTTAACTTGCAAAAAAAGTTACCGCTAAATTGCCGTATTCTAAGGCTTTGAACCGTTTGGGAAGCTCCGACGAATACTATATTTTATATAGTCCCGAGTTCGTATTAAAAAAAATTGGAATATATACGGAAGCATAATATGAAACAAATATATCAGCCATCGGAACGTCACCTTATGCGAACTTCAAAACATTTTAGTTCGTCAAAGTGTGATAATTTTTGGTACTAACCAATCTCAGCATATCGAAACTTCCACGACGATTTTATTGCCCGCTGCTATTTCACTCCTTCGCCAAACTTGCTTATCTCGTTCTAGATGGTGTTTCATCTCCGTCTGGCCACCCACGTGGCGGTGGGCGTTATTATGGGTCTCCTGTACTACGGCACGGGAAACCGGGCCGACCTATTATTTAACAACGCGACGCTCGTGTTCTTCGCCCTCATGTTCCTCACTTTCACCGGCATGATGCCCGTCGTCCTCGTGTGTGAGTAGTCAAAAGATAATTGATCATTATTCAAATCATGGATGCATATGACTAGGTTAGGTGCAATCTTTAATAAATATATTGTATTGAAGTTCTCACTCGTGTACTAACAAGTGATTCGATTGTTCGTCAAATAGCTGATAGAAATGATCAGGTGAAGTGCAATATTTGATAATTATTGTATTTAAATTTTCATTCACGCAATCACAATCGATTTGATTATTCGTCAAATTGTGGATACAAATGATCAGGCGAAGTGCAATATTTTATAATTATTGTATTGAAGTTTCCACTAATGCAATCACGAGTGATTTGATCATACGTCGGATCGTGAATACAAATTATCAGGTTAAGTGCACTCTTCGACGAATGTTGCACTGAAGTTGCGACTGATGTCTGCGCCACCAGTGATGTAATGCATGGTGATCAAATTATGTGAAAACTCTGTCATATTGTAGTTTCCACTGGCGAATTGGTTATGAGGTGACTAAATAAATGTTTATTTCAACCGTGAATGCAAACGGTCAGATTAACTTCAAACTCTAATAAATGTCATATTGCAGTTTTGATATCCGTTACTGCGATCAAATGATTTGATGCATCATTGTTGGGATCGCGGATGTTAACCAGACCAATGTCAAATGTTAATGAATTTTGTAACACCGATGTATTAATTTATTATATATGGTTTAACTGCTAATCAAATACGTTAATATAAAAGTAGAAGTTGCATTTAAAGCAGTTCTTTCTTTATGAAAGAGTAGTATAAGTATGGTGCGAATCTAAATAATTGGCGCATGGTCATTCGCTGAACGTTTTCCGGGGATTGCGCAGATTGATTCACCACTTGCTGTAGACAAAAGTAGACGCACATATATATTTAGCGTGTGGAGCAAGAGTTTAAGTTATGAAGCGTCTGTAATACAGCATGAGGTTATAATGTTATGTTTGAATTGCCTTGTAAATAATATGAAATCTGAAAAATTTTAACCGCAAAATATAAAATATGAGACGACGTAAAAGAGAAAATAATTAGAGTAAAAAAATGAAGAGGTGACAATTGACATTTATTTATCACAGTTGCATTGATTATATTTATGCTTCCTCAGACTATTATAACTCTTAAAACATAAAAAAGTAAGACAATCTTTGACATATCTTGGAATCTTTGCAGTTCCCCTGGAGGCTTCTGTCTTCACTAGGGAGAGATGTAACTCATGGTACACCCTCAAGGCATATTATCTGGCCAAAACAATTGTTGAGATTCCATTCCAGGTAAGAACCATCTAGGTACCAAATTGCATATGTCTAATGACGTAAATTAAGTACCGTAACTTATTACGACATCGGTGGTCGCTTTAGGCTTTACTGCATGATATACCTAGAGAAAAAATAATGTAGAATACGTGCCACAGATCACATATTGAAATCAGGGGTTTGTGTAACCACCTGCAGAGGTGGTCGCACAATAGCGTGCATTCATCGCGCTAAGAACATGGAAGTTTTTTTTTTTTTTTTTTATCTAATCGTTTATAATGCATTATAATGTTGGAACAGATGTTCGTTTCAAACTTACAAGTTGGACAACACAGGCGTTCAAAATAACCACATCACCTCGACCGACCTTTTTCAAAGATCGCTGGGTGCATGCGCCAACTCTGAGAAAGGTGAAGAAAGAGAATAAAGGCCCGTTCACACTCTTGCGACCAAGTACGACTGAGAGAGACGAGATCTCTTACAACTTCTTAAATGTTTCTAGAATGAGGGAACACACTGACATTGTGGCGCCATCTATGCGGTGACCCTAGAACTGCATTTCACAAAAGCGAAGGTTTTGCGGGATTTCCGAGGTCAAATGTGCGTAATACCCATAGAAAGGCTCCTGTATAACATTGACAAAAGTTTTTCGAGCCAAAAAAGAAAGGATATTGCGCGAGAAATAAAAAAAAAATATGCCGGAGCGCCGAGTTTACACTGCTTCCCAATAGATGGCGCCAGTGTGTTCTCTGGTTTAAGAAGTTTTAAGGAACCCAGGTTTAAGAGGTCGCAAGCAGTCGCAAGAGTGTGAACGGGCCTTAAGGCGTCATTTTGGGAGGCTGCTAGTTGGGCTTGACTCCCTCCGCTATTCTCGCGGCTTGGCTTCATAGTTGTCATGCGTCACCACAGTGTAGCTGTAGGTTGCACAAACAGCAGCAAAAATTGTTCAAAAGCAAGATTTTGTAGAGTTCCAGCAGCCTTTTGTGGGTGGTGCACGAGAGCACCCAATATCAAACACCTCGCCCTTTTTGCCCCGCTTTCAAAAGCCCCCGTTTCAGAAGCCTATGACGCGAATCCCCCCGTGTCAGGTGGCCGGGTCTTCAACGTAACAGCGGGGACATCCTGCGTTTAACAAAAAGACATTAAGTGTGCATGCGAGGTTTTGTAACGTAATAATGGCGTACTCGGTACTCGAGTGAATAATAACTGGATAAAGCTTTCCGTTCTTAACGCGTGCGCTATACACATTCACATCTTGCCATGTAAAAATCAGGGCTGCGCAGAGATACTCGAAAAAGTACTGGGGACTACAAATACTAAAATATGGGTATTTTAACGCCCAAAATATAAATACTGAGATACATTTGTCTTTTATGCAAAGGAATATCCCTGAGATACGTCCACAAAAATGACGATAAAGTATTCCGGAATTGAAATAGAGATACTTATAGCAATAAAGTAGAGATTTGGCCCAGTTGATTCAATGCAAACAAAGAAACAGCGCTGAAAAAACAAAGGAACACAAACTAAGGGAAACAGGACAAGGCGCACTCTCAACTGAAGTTTATTGAAAATTGACAAAATAATATAGCCACCAGAAACTTCGTTATCCTTATCTATTCAGCACGCGTTTCAGAAATTCAAACTCACTTGTAGATAACGACAGGGACGTGTCACTTATACCTTTCTTCTCCCTGGTCCTAATTTCAGATGCCGCATGTAATTCTCGCAGACAAAACTAAGCAAAATCTTAGCGTCATTGAAGGCCGGGGTGCACGAGCATCTGTTACAAGGAATTGCAAGATGCCCCGAAGGCGTCGTTCTTGTAGAGGCAGCATGCTCGCGGGTGCGATCATTCACGCACCTGTCCGTCTGGCGCACGTATGTCATCCCACACGTCATGGGGATTTTGTAGCCGACGCCAGTAGCGCATTCGACGTACTTATTTCGGTGATTAGTAGTGTGGCTATATTAGCTTGTCAACTTTCAATCAACTTCAGCTGAGAGTGCGCCTTGTCCTGTTTCTCTTCGTCTGTGTCCGTGTTCTTTCGGCGCTGTTTGTTTCGTTTGATACTTATAGAAATACATTTGTTTCTGAACGGTGCTTGGTAGGGAGGGTGTAGTTCGTGACAAATCCAAATGCAATGTATGCTTGTGCTCCTCTTTTTGTGTTATTGTATATGCACTTACTTCCCCGTGTCTCAAAATCTTAATGCCGCTAAAGAAAAAAAGAACACGTCGCCCTTGGCGAAACACATAACGGTAAAGACTGTGTGCCTTCTTCACAAAAGGAGCCTGAACGAAATGAACCCTGTTTTCCCGTGAGGGCGCATCTCCAACTGCTGTCTTAAATGCTTCTGAGTCATCCATAATGTGGGGAGATGATACAACAGAGCCGCACATTTTCTACACTCAACTCCTTTACAGCGTTTGCTCTACTACGTTGGAAAAAGTGGAGGGCTTTGTGAGAGGAGCTTATTCTATAATTCTTGCGAGTAACCTTCTTTAAACCAGCTTTTTTAATGTTGGTGACTGTGATAGATCATATGTTATAGGGCGGGTTCATATTATAAATTCTGAAGCACCTTGCACCAAACGTGTTTTCATCTTTTAAATATATCATAAAAAACGTCAACAAATGTACCGAGATACCTAAGTGTGACGAAGTATCGCGACATACGCGATATATTGTAAATGTATTACACTACCGAGATACAAATCCATTTTCAAATGTATCTCGATACAGAGATACAGATACTCGATAGTATCTCTAAGATACTATCGCGATACATTTGTATCGCTATACTGTCCAACCCTGGTGAAAATAGAGGAAGAAGAGCAGAACATATTAGTCACTGGAAAGACATTTAAAGCTCTTTGGAATGAGCTCAAGCCTTACGGCGACAGAACCCTGACGCAACGCCTTGCCAACCAACCGTGAACTCCCCTGTTTGCAGGGCCCACTTCGTCAGAGGTTCGTAAACGTGTTGAATTCAAAGACAGATTATTTCTAAGATACCGTTCCTGAATTTTTGACGGTGCAGGTGAGCCTTCGCAATATCAAGACCGCCCGGATTTCATCCCCTCTGAGTTTGTCTACACGGCTCCGGGTACGGCGATGCCCCTTGCGCTCACGCGGTACCCAGGACGGCGAAGAGACGGAACACAATAAGCTTCAGTACACCTTAGGCGCTCAAGGAGAGCGAAATCAGCTGTTCGCAGTGACCCGGCCTCATAAACGGAGCTCACAAGCTCCGCATGAGGTGGATAGTTGGGTCGGGATTGAAACTGGTCACCATTACTTTCCTTACATAACACTCTGCCTTGAAAACCGACCTTTTGTTCGGTTGCTTGCACGACTCGACTCCTATATACTGACTCCTATATACTAGGCTCCTATATACTGACAAAGCCTGGCAGATCGCCACGAGAAGCGGCCGCCGAAATGGAAAAGGCGGAGCGGCAGATAACGGATGAGAGGAGAGCCACGTGACTGGTGCCCCGCTGCGGCGAGACCCCGGAACACACTTCTCCCGAACGAACAAGTGTGTTCCGGGTCCTCGCCGCTTACAAAGCTGAGCGCTGACGTCAGGTTCCCCGAGAAATGGCTCTTTGATGCTTTGTGCTACCAGATCGTCGTGCTCCAAATCTGCCACCGGGCACTGCTCCTTCGTCGAACTGCGAGGCTTTGTGAGTATAGAGGAGGTTATGATATGACGCATACGACGCATACGACGCTCGTGTGGGACGAGCCGAATGCGACTTCAAAACCTTAGATTGACAACCCCTGATATAGTCCCTGAGAGCCCAAGAAACACAAGGCGTGGCAAGTTCCAAGAATCTTATTACCGCTACACAACAGATGATTCTACAGCGTTAGCCGATCAGAACCAGGATTGGCCAGTATCTCTATAGTATCTTAGAGATACTTTGGAATATCTGTGTCTTCTCTGTATCGAAATACGTTTTGGGGAATGTACTTGTATCTCAGTAGGGAAATACGGTGTATCGGTTATTTGGCGATACTTTGCCAGGGCTTAGGTATCTCGATATGTATTGCCCCCCCCCCCCCCCCCAAGAAAAAAAAAACACGTGTTGTTTTAGTACTTTTATTTTGTGGTGCCTTTCTGAGTGTCGATCCCTGTCCAGCCCTGATCATAACGCCGAAAACAGATAGAAAATGGCGAAATCTTCAACAGAGTAAGTAACGTCCGTCGATTTTTCAGTTGTCTTAGCCACGAACACTTTAAGAAACGCAGGGTGAGGATTACTATTAACAGAATGGACAACTGGGCGAGTTGGTGCGCTTTCATGTTGAAACAGCGCAACTAGACACGGACGAAACGAGAAACTGGACGAAACGAGAGTTAATTAACTACCGGTTTTTACCTAAAAAAAACAAACACACACACACACACAGCAAAGGCATACACGCGACACCCTACTCAGGTTGGGATTCCGTCTGCGCAACGAATACCTCGATGCAACAAGTTAGGCTTCTCAAGCACACGGCCCGCGGTCCGTAAATGGCCCGTGACTCGCTGTGACGCGGCCCGCAGGCAACCGGCTACGAATTCCGATTCCCATGTCTCGAGCGCTAGAAAAGACATGCGCCATAGTGATCTCATCTCGTCGATTCATTTTCGGTGAAACGTAGCTCTGCTCTTTTAACGTATTCACATTGTTGATAGTTATCTGTGTTCGGTCGCACTTTGTTTTGCTTTATTTTTTGCTTCCCAGCTTTGTGTAATGTAAAACAATTCCGCTACTAGGCGGCAAGCGCGAGCTACCTGTTGAAGGATGCATCTCGGCTGCGCGAACTCTCTATCAGCAGGAGGCACTTTCAAAGATATAGCTACGAGCTCGGGATTCCCGCCTTCAAACAAATATCACCATTATAGGACAAGTATATTGTTCAGAGTGTTGTAATAAATATGGTCAGGAAAGTAAGAACTGTCAAATTAACTGATTGCTTTTGTAGGGACATGTTGAGCTCGCTTAATTCCTGAGTGAATTAGGAACTGGAACGACAGTGTACTTGCTCTCTTGTTCTATTAAAAGTGCCCGCACGTTGGCGGGGGCGGTGTAATTTCAATTTCTGCTATTACATCAGGTCAGAGCCCAAAGTAGTCATAGAAGCAAATCAAATCCGAATATGTCAATGGCAAAACCGTGATTTTTTTAAAAGCATAAAGCACGAGGTCTCTTCTCCTTAAAAAAATTAACTTCCCCCCTCCCCCTGTCCCCCCATCCCCCTCCCTCCGCCTTACATTGGCCCTCGACCTTTCTGGCGTGGGCTATCTGGCCCCCGAGCTCAAATGAGTTTGAGACCACTGATATAAGTTATTGCACTGTTCACAAGTTTTGTTTTGTGACTCTTGTTTGCTGATACCGCAATCGCATGACTGCAAATCAATAATAACATTCTCAAGACTAGGAGAGTTCCCGAGAAAAGAGAACCCTGTTTTTTGGCCCGGATAAATAAACTATATGTCACAGAAAGCTCAAACTCCGCAAAAATGTGAAGCTAGTGGTTTGGATAAAACGCGAAAGTTTGAAACAATAAATATCTTGCAAAACAAAAAAAAAAACTGAGAATTTTTTTTTTTTTTTTTTGTGATTACGTTTATTTTATTTTAGCATCGTTAAGACAAAATATTATATTGTGAACGCTCATGGGATTTATATCAGCGAAGAACACTTGGTAGCAAAAGAAAGAGAATATCGTTTTCTTTCCTGCTTGCAAGTTAGTTCCACTGAAACTTTTTGACGAACTTATACTTAGGTGGACGTCGGCTCTCGTTTTTTCTCAATTATATTTTGATTCATGTAAGGTAATGTTCTCAAACTTTCGCATTCTATCCCAACTACTAGCTTCATATTCTCATGGAGTTTGAGAATTCTTCGACCCATATTTTATCTACCCGGGCCGAAAAACACATACTTAAAAGGTTAAAACAGCGCAAAAGACAACGGACAGGGTAAAGAAGGACACAGACAGGGCGCTGTCTGTGTCCTTCTTTGTGCCCTGTCCGTTGTCTTTTGCGCTGTTTTAAGCTTTTAAGTATGTCACACCAACTGGACAGGCTTCAACCTTAGCGAAAAACACAGTTCTTTTTTCTCGGGGACTCTCTGTATACTTCTCGAAAACACGAGAGGGCCGGCCCTTGCAACCAAGGAAAATCGATATATATATATATATATATTGAAAATGAACTTCCTTTTTTTCAGATCTTGCACCCCACCCTCTTCATTTCGATCGTGTACTGGATGACGTCACAGCCCTCCGACTGTTACCGCTACGTCATGTTCACCGCCACATGCGTCCTGGTTTCTTTCGTGGCACACTCTCTCGGCATGCTCATCGGTGCCATCGCATGCGTGCAGGTGGGTGCAGAGGGTCCGACAGAATCCCGCTAAAATATCGTACAAAAGACCATTGCAAACACTGTTAAAGGCCCGTTTCTTCTTTTGACAGCGTAGCTGTTAAGGGCTAGTTTCCCGAGGATCGTGTCCCCAGGAATGAAATGTCGACACAAAACTCTGGACAGCTACCGCCATCTATGAGCGACGGCGGCAACCAGACAACTGGCTTGCCGGCCTCGCTTATAGATGTCGGCAACCTTTCCAGCCTTTCCACTCTGGTTTTCACCAGAGTGGAAAGGCTGAACTTTTCTAGGCGTCGTCCTCGAGGTCGTCCTTGAGGTCATCCTTGAGGTTGTCCTTGAGGTCGTCCTTGAGGTTGTCCTTGAGGTTGTCCTCTAAGCGTCGTCCTTAAGGTCGCCCAAGAAGTCGTGCTTGAGGTCGCCCCATCATAGTACAGCTTCGCTGGTCTTCCTTCTTCACCAGAGTGGAAAGGCTGAAAGTTTTCTATTTTTTTTTTTGTTTGTTTGTGCTTGTATGGCGGTTTTGCCACATTGGTCATGCAAAACCTGCCTTTAGGCATCTTATGGCGCATACTTATGCATGAAGCACAGCTGCTTCGAATAATGCTTCAGGTGTGTCAGCATATAATTCCGTCATCATGCGTCTGCACCGAAGAACACAGTGCCTTTCGTATGGTGCATGGGCAGCGTAACTACGGCTGAAGAAAGCTGGAGCGTCTGCTCTCCATCAAAGCACCTGGGAGGGCCAATTGCTGCAATGTAGGGTGCGAGCACGGAGAATGACGAGGCAGAAAAAAAATGTTTATACCTAGAAGGAAACAATCCGCGCGGTAGTACTGCACATGGTGAAACGTCATGGTGGTTAGTGGTTAGGTTAATTGTGTGCTAAGTTAGGTTGGTTGGGTCAGGGACGGATTTAAGGGACAGACCCGGGGAAGGGGGGGGGGGGCGGTTTATGGAGAGGGATGTGACGTCACGGACCGATGAAGATTTATTTTGTTGATTTAACATTTGCCATTTCACTAAAAAATAATCCTCTCTTCTTAAAAAATAAAGCTGGTGTATGCCGTGTTTTGCGTAGAAAAAGTTACCCTTCGAAACGAAGGGGGGGGGGGGGGGGGGAGACTTCCCCCCTTTTTTATATTATCCCCTGGGTTGGGTTGGGTTGTGTTAGGTTAGGTTAGACTGGGTGTACGCATATTTACAGCCTCATCATTGGCTGAGTCGCCTGCCTAGGTTGCAGGAATTGGCTCTTCCTGGGACTTTGAGGGAAATTAAGTAGACGCTCGAATTGTACGGTGCGACCAGCACCAATACGAGCAAGCAAGGTCCGTGGAGGGTTTCGCTACAAAACTCCGTCGCCTTCAATGCGACCGTTGCAGGTTGCGGTGTTCCTGGCTCCGGCAGTGGCCATCCCGTTCATGCTGTTCAGCGGCTTCGTGGTCACGCTCCGCGCCATCCCCCACTACCTGCGCTGGTTCTCGTACGCGTCCTTCCTACGCTACGCCTACGAAAGCAGCATGCGGACGCTGTACGGCTACGACCGCCCCGAGCTGGAGTGCCTCGAAGACGACGCGTCGTCGCCCTGCCTCTTCGTGGAACCGAACCTCTTCCTGGACTTCATGGGCCTCCACGAGATGAGCGTGGAAGTGTGCCTGGCAGCGTTGTTGGGCTTCGTCGTGGTCTTGCAGGGGGCCACGTATCTCGCCCTGAGGCACAGGGGCAAGCGTGCCCTTTGAGCCGTCGTCGCACTGACAATACATCGTACGAAAGACAGTTTACGGACAATGGCATGGGCGTGTACTTTTCTTGTATGACTGTCAGATTGGCCGCGCAAACTGTCTGCAGGCACGTTGGAGACGTTTGAAGCAAGCATGTCTCGAATATGCTTAAGGCCGGTCCGCGTATAATTCTGTCACCGTGTCTGTGGAAAAGGCCGTGTCATTCATATGGTGTTTGAGCAGAGTGACCGTGGCTCGAGGGGATTTCAAATCCACCTCTGACGCTGGACACGAATGGAGGGTGTGTGAAATCCGCGTACACGAGCCGGCAAGCCGGCTCCCACGTGATGCGCGACTATAAGCGGATCAGACCGGGCCCATGCGTTGACTACGCGTTCAAAGCATAGATCAAACATTAAACGCACGAAGATTCAACAAACGCCAGACCTGTGTGTGTGTTTTTTTTTTCTTTTTATAACAAGGTGTTTTTTTTTTTTTTTCGATAAATACCGATCAACTTTGACAAATAACCCCCACGCCCATTTTATCAAAAATCGACGAAAAAAAGTTCTGTCTGTCTTCAAATAATAAAAAACCGAAAACTTCGGTGAGAAAAACGTAGATCTATAACAATAAATTTTGTTGATCCCGAACAAAGCCCGCACTGAGCTCTCCATGAGGTTGCTCCTTTTTTTCTGCGGGACCACCTCCCTTATTTCGTGTCCTCCTATCGGTACCGGAAAGAATCACGTGCTTGCTGCCTCAAGTTTAAGAAATGTGATGCCCGTGTCCGGCTTTCCTCAACCTTAGCCCTCGATAAACACCGAATTTTTGCCCGACACGAAACTTTCACCCCGAAAATCTGTGGTAAATAATAGTCTCCGTAAAAACACCCCCGAATTCGAAGAAAAGTAAAACCCGAAAACAAGGAACCCTTTCTACTAACTACGGCAGCGGGCCGCGCCACGCAGTTTACAAGGAGCTATAGACCTACCCGGCCGACAATGAATGGATGGATGTATGGGTTAATGGATGGATGGATGAATGGATGGATGGCAATGACTTTATCATTTCCATCGGGCTGTAGTTTAGAAACATTTATACCCCTCCCATTTAAATCTTGCTCCGAATTCCGTCCACTGTTAAATAGTCTACCTCGCCAATTTTGGGCATTATTACATATCTATACCTGTTACAGTGTGACATTATCCGTGGAACCACATCGTTGCCTGTGTGAGGGGCACGCTCTAAAGAGAAAAAAAAATATTTGAGTTCACTTTCCTGCGGGACAGGTAGACAGCTATTCGCGGGCAACGATGGGATGAAGCCAGCAAATTACAAAAGTCTGAACACAATTAGATAAACGAAAAATAAAGAAGAACTGCGATGTGCGAAGAGAAGATGAACAATATATACGTTTCACTCGCTCATAAAAAAGTTTCAGCAGATCGTTCCGATACCTCTGATAGCCCCGACAACGATGCCCGGTAAAGATACGATGTATGCGCAAAGGCTGCGACAGAGTATCTGTTATCGTTATCGGAGTCACCGGAACGATCCACTAAAACTCTGTATTGTTCGTGTCCACATGGACATTTTTAGATGCAACGGTTCTCTGAGCTTCGCCATTAGGGAGTTTTCGTAGATCGTTTCCGCTGTCCCGCAACGCTCTTCGCATCCCGCTACGCTAGCCGGAACTCTACAGTCAAGGCTATCGACGCGCAGGCGCAGTAGCGGCTTCTTCGTTGCGGAAGGCTGAGCGGAGGGGGAAACGTGGTCTACGAAAACTCCCTATTCCCTGTGATCCTTCCCAGCATATGGTCGTCGTGACCGCCGGATTCGCTCTTCTGCAAGAAAACAAATTCAGACTTTCCTTTTTTTTTCAGTAAAGTCATTTGAAACACGCAGTGGACGATAAGGATTTTATTGTACTGCGGAGAAGTGCAACTGGGCGCGAGCAAAAGTGAATCATCAATAGTTTCACCTATATAAGACCCTTTAACTGTTTACGAACATGAACCGCTGCTAGCGTCCAAAGCGACTTTCGGTCTCTTCGTCTTTGCGAACCCGTTGACTTTGCTTATGTCGCCAGTGCTAGAAAGCATAAATACTAGACGAACGGCAAAGTTGGAGATTTAGTGAGGGCATTCGGCTGTACGATTTAACATCTTGGAGGAGACAAGTCGGTTTACAAGAATATTCAAGAATTGGAACAGATCTCGCGCTTCTTGGTTCCTTTGGCATACACGTGGAGAAGTGGTGGTTACATGTTTCATCCACGTTTGAAGCAGCAGTGCTAGGGTGGGCTTTGTTCATTATTTTTATGAACCGGATGTTCGCTGGGATGTCAATTACTGGAGCGTCACATGGTGGCGCTTGCAAAGAAAAGGGTCTATACTCCTGGCACCTAATGGCAGACACGTATACCTCCCACATGACATGTAACTTTTGCCATCTCGCGCCGAGCATCTAACTCCACACGTTGAACGTATGTAGTGTGACGCTTCTATGCAATGGTCATTAAGCACCGTTCAAACACTTAAGACTGAGTAGGACCGAGAGCGCCAAGGCCAGTTTTTAAGCCTCTTGCGACGGCGGCACCTGCTTCGCACCAGCGCATCTGGTCCTACGCCGCCGCAAGAGGCTTAAAAACCGGTCTTGTCTCTCTCGGTCGTACTCAGTTGCAAGTGTGTGGACGGCTCTTTAGCGGAGAGAAGATGTTGTAAGTTCTCCGCTATCTTTACATGGAATGGGTTGCAGGGCAACCCGGTAAAACAGTGGACGGGTGGAAGCGTTGCTGTCAGCGGTTCTTTGGAAATTGTGATATTTCTTGTCCCGTTTTAATTGTGCTGAAACTTCTTCCCATTGATTCGAACGTAATAAACGTTGGGCAAATCGCCCTGAACAAACCGATCTTCTCTGACTCATTGAATCCGACAACGTCGCCATACGTTTTCGTATGTTTCTAAAGGCTCTAGTGTACTCCAACGTCGCGCACAGCGAACGCAGCGTAGCGCAGAACACGCGCATTTCATTGGCCGGCGAGCAGGAACTCGATATCCGCGACCAATCGGTATCTGCGTGCGCTGCGCTACGCCGCGTCTGCTATGCTAGACGCCGTAGTATAAGTGAACCCTTAATGGCACCATCCCGGAAGCTATAGACCGACACCCTGTTTACAAACAAGCCCGCGTTGGCCCATACAACGGGTGGTGCCATATGCGACTGTCATTTATGATCGATTGACTTCACATAAAGAGGTATCGTTGTTATTTAGGGTGTCAGAAGATGCATAGATAAAAGAGACACGTTGGGCACGACCCCGACTTTCCCTTGTGGTCACCGAGAGCTTGAGAAACAACATGTGGCTTATAATGTTTACGTTTTTTGCCTTGCGAGTTGTCCTTCGTCGTTCTTAACAAGTAAAACCTCTAATAAAGTTTTTTTTTTTTTTTTGCAATTTATACTTGGAGCGTTGGGTTCAGTATGTTTGTCTAAATGGGAATTCCTCCTCAGTAAAACCAATACTTCGTGGTGTTCCTCGGGGCAGTATATCAGGTCCCTTCCTCTTTAACATATATGTAAATGACGTCGTAAACATTAACTCAAATGTAAAATTTGTTCAACTATGCCGACGATACAACAATACTTACTTAGGGAGGGGACTGCGATGTGCTAGTAGTTACGGCAAGTCTGACGTTGTCCAAACTGGAATTTTGGAGTCGGGAGAACTAATGTCAAATAAACATAAACAAAACGAAAGCTGTACGTTTTCACAAAAAAAAAAATTGATCGTTCAGATTAACGCGAGATATCGCTCTAAATTTGACTACAACTGAGATTCTGAGTCATTTCAGGGCATTGGGAGTATTGTTTTCTCAAAATATGTCCTGGGACAATCACATTAATTTTATAAACCCTCAACTGTCACGAATAGGTGGCTTTACATACCGTCATTGGTCAATTTTGCCAAAGAACGTGAAATGACTAATCTATACATCACTGTTTTATTGCCACTTAAATTACTGCCATTTCATCTGGGGCTCAGCTAGATTATTCAGTCGTGAGAGGGAATTTTTATTACAAAAGAGGGTGTTGAGGTCCATCGGCGGCGTCCCGTTTGACTCTCATTCAGCTGGTCCGTTTACGGCCTCTCCGCGTTATTTATACAATTTACACAACTATAGACTTAGCAGTACATTCAAATTGGAGAGCAACAGAAACACGGGTTTTCTTACGAATTTGGCACATCTCTCCGTAAAAGAACTTGCTTACCTTACTAATCAAGCAGAACATTGGGAAATGGTAGCGCGGAGGACAAATTACGGCTCTCAGATGATTAGATATACGCTACCTAATTTGCCCAACCAGTTTGGTGCTAGTGAGTTGGATCTGATTAAGAGGTCCTTTAAGCAACTTAGAGCATATTTTGTAAGCCTAGATACGATTACTCAAATTTCTTTAATATGTGTGTTGTGCTCGTATATTATCCACCCGTTTTGTACTTTCGCATGATGTAGCATTTTTTCCAGTATACCTCTGCTGTTGCTGTCGGTGGCTCTAGACACGGACAACTTAAGAATCACATTACGATCGCGTTTCGAGCCCCTCTGATTGGTGCTTGGGTGTTCCTAGAGGTTGATCGTGGCAATCTCATTGGCTGTGGAGCGATAACCAGGGGCTCACCACACCCCGTATTTCTTAAACCGTCGGCGACTGGGGAACGCTTCGTGCGCGCATAAAACAAAAATTGGGCCGGGGATGACTGTTGGAAGTCGCAAAGGTGCTCTCGTCTCCTCATGATCAGAAAACGACATGTACCACACCATGTTGCATGTTTTTCCTCGTGCTTCCAGTGAAACAAAACGTTTGCTCTGGTTTTCGGTGCAGACACACACAAACACACACACACACACACACACACATATATATATATATATATATATATATAAATATATATTATGTATACTGAGAAATTTTAGCGGAAACTAAACTCGTCCGGTTACGTTGGATTGTATTCCGTAAAACGCGGTGCACGTTCATGTGAGTACGGGCAATAGTTCTGTTTTGCACTCTGGAACTCCTGTAAAATCACATCTAAACCGAAAACTAAAAAAATAAAAAAATGGCGCGCAGCTGGAATATTTAGGACTGTAGTTCGTGCGACAGAGCAATTAAGTTCGAGCAAGCTGGGACATGACGTTGGATGAAAAACAGTCTGGCACTGCACCGAATAATAAGGAGAGTTATACTTTATAACGTG